TTAAACATATTTGTCTTCTGCTTATTTGTCTAGAAAGATCAAAGGATTTCCCTAAAATTGTAAAGGTATTCATGGAATATTACTCAGCATTCAAAAAAGATAAACACATGCAATTTGCAGCAACATGGATGGCGCTGGAAGGGATCATGCTCAGCGAAATAAGCCAGAAAGAAAAAGAAAAATACCGATGGTCTCACTCATAGCAGGAATCTAGAAAACTTAAATAAGGGACCAGGAAAATGAATAACTATAAGAAAGTGAAAATCAAAATCAACAAAAAACTATGAACCAGAGACACTTTTTGGGGGTGGGGGGCGGGAGGGGAGGGATTGGGATCAGAATGGGGGGGTTGCAATTGTATGGGGAATATAAAAATAAACTTTATTATTTAAAAAAATAAAATTGTAAAGGTATAAAATGGTAAATGTCATTTGATAATAATCCAATGAATTCATAAATGGAACTAAGAACCAATATGAAATTTTGAAGAACAATTGTCCAGTTCTAATGTCAATACAAGTAAAAAGGATCAACTTAAATGACTTTTTCCAAACAACCCAAGTAAGAGGCAGGTGATTACCCTTCTCATTTTACTTTTCCTCATCTTATCTCCAATCCCACATAGCCTGGGATTCTCTGGGCCACGTTGGTTCTGACAGTTTTCTCATTTCCTCTCCTGGCATCTTCTTTTAGCATCTTCTTTTTCAGCCACAGAGATGCTCCTTCTGACATTTCTCGTTGGCTAAGTCTCATCAACTAGTTTGACCTCCAAGCCTTCTAGGGAAATAAAGCCTGGACCCAGCGCCCCCTGCCCTGCCTCATCTCCCCTCTGTCTGCCTCGCAGTGGCCACTTGGAAGACACAGGAGCCAAGCCAGTCCCATGATCCTGCAGGCCATCACCCTGGCCGCCCCGCTGAGTCCCCCGGGACCTGGGCCATCAGGGGTGAGTGCTGGGGGAGGGGGAGGGGAGCTAGCAGAGATTTGGGGCCCTCAGGTGCTGCTTTCTGTCCTGTTTCTCTCCCCCGTTTCCTCTCGTGTGAGGTCATCTTTTGCTCGCTGTCATTCTAACAGTAACAGCCACCCTAGATGGTGCCAAACCTCATTTAAATTTCACAACAGCCTTTCAGGAAGGCATTTATTATTCTAAGTTTAGAAATGAAAAGACTGAGACTTAAGGATATTGGCCCATGTCTCACCAGCCCCGTGCACAGTGCTGATGAGGGAGAGCCCGGCTCCTCTGGATGTGTTCTGTGGGTCTCCTAAATTTCAGCGCAGAGTCCCTGACACAGGCGTCTGCAGTGTGTGGCTTTGGCCTCTCTTGTTTCATTCAGTCCTCAACCCACCGCATCCTCCCTTTGCCTCTCCGTCTTGGTGCTCTCTAGGGAGGCTGTTACCTGTCTCCACACCAGCAGAACCCACATCCCTTCTGTGCGGATGACAGCGTCATTACTGATACCGTGACGTGACCACTTCCTCCTTTCTGGAATTTTTCTGTTCCTACTTTTTAAAAAAGATTTATTTATTTATTTACACAAGCACTGGGTACAGTCAGAAGCACGGGAGGGTGAGAGAATTCACCAGAGCCAGAGCGGGGAGCAGAGCAGGCAGAAGGACCGAAGGACACTGCTGAGGGGAGCAGCGGGCGGCAGGAGAGGTCTGCGCGCCATGTGGGACCCTCCTCCGGTGGCCGGGGAGCAGCCGGGGATCGAGCCTGCGCTGCAGAGGCTGCGGGCAGCTTCGCAACCCAGCGCTCAACCGCTGCGCCACCAGGGGAGGCCCTGTTCCTAGTTTTTATGAGTATGCTTCCTCCTTGCTTTTTCCGATTCTTTAGCCTTTTGTCTTTCAGTCTTTTGAAAATTGTCTGTGTTTGCCAGGACGCAAGACACGCACTCCCGACCCCTCCGGTGAGCTCATCCGAACTTGCCGTCATGACCCTCAGCCTTGGCACCAGCCTGCAGCCCACCCATTTAGTTCAGCTGCCCTCAAACCAACTCCATGTTGTTCCCCAGGAAGGTATCTGAGCATGTCCCAAACAGAACACTCTGTCTCCTCTCACCCTTTTCCTCCGTTGTCTTTTTAGTCACTGACGCCCCAGTTCCTCACATCTGGAGTGGTCATTGTGAACTCCAGTGTCCTGACTCCACCACACCATCTACAGATTCTGTGGCTTCTCATCTCTTAATGCCATTCAAAGCCCTCAGCTCTTCTCCAGCCCTGTGGTACCGCCCCATCTCCACCTTCACTGCTGTGGGGTCCTATTGTTCTTCTTTCCAAACTAGCTTCCTCCAATCCAGTATCCCCCTGTGCCACTGCCAAGCGCAGTCTGGTCCTGCTACTCGCTTTATTAAGGTCCTGTGACGATTTTCCTGTGGGCGCTGGGATAAAATGCAAACCCCATTGTTAGGGACTGGTGGGTCACGATTAGCCCCTTGCAACATCGCCCCTCAGCTCCAGTCATAGTGAAGAACAGACGCTTCTTCATGCGGGTTTCATGTCTGGCTGCTTTCGAGCCTGCTGCTCCTGCTGGAAATGCCATTTTCCCCTTTCTTGGCTCTGCGCTTCCTGGGAAGCCTCGCTCCAAGCTCACTTGGATTTTAACTCTCTGTTTTTGCTCCTAAGTAGCACCTTGTGTATACCTTGGGATAATTTAGCAACAATAAACCACATATGTAGCATTGTCTTTTCTTTGTCTCATTCTTTGGATTTTCTAGCAACTTGAGAATCGGGAGGAGATCTTCTGAGTTAAATCTTTAGTGCTAGAGAGTGAACATTCACAACACGATTTTTTTATTTTTTTATGTCATCTTTATTTTTAAATTTTTATTTAGATATGTTTTACATCATTGTTTAATTTTTTCATTTTAATTTATTTTATTTTATGTAGTTCTTACATCATTTTTCATTTTTGCACAATGTGTGCATTTTCACTTTGGTTATATTCCCCATACAATTCCCACCCCCCCTTATTTTGACCCTAATCCCTCCTCTCCTCCACCCCTCCCCCTCAGTAGTGTGCCTCTGGTCTACAGTTGCTACACAATAAGATTTTTTACTGAATAAAAATTAGTATTTGTAGTATAGTTTGCTTCAGGATGCACAGATATTTAGTTTTAAGAGCTTATGAAAATGATAAAAATGAAATATTGGAAGTGAATAAACTATACCCACAGAGCCAATTTTTCCCTTTCAACTTTTTTCCTGTGATTCTCTAGCCACAAAATCCAGTCAGGGATCCCAAGCACTTGTGAGTGACTATGAATCCTGTCATTAAAAGTCTCAGGCGAGGATTAGTCTCTGTGTGTTGGGGCTGCAAGGGTGAATCACTACTTAGGGAGACAGAGAACCCCCTAGTGTGATTTTTCCTTAGGTCCTCTGTCTCGGTCAACATCAAACTCTCTCATTTCTGTTATTTCACTGTAATAATAATAGTTTTTATTGGTGTCAACCTCTTGCTGCTTCTTACACATCAGTTAAAACGAAGAACTAATCCCAGTAACATCTCAGGTTGCAGTTAAATGCAGCAACTTTATTTCTAATGAAAACTCCACTTGCCAGCATATATTCAGCAAGAAAATTTGGAAATGTTGTGTAGACGATAATACTTTTAGATTTAATGTGCCTAAAACGATAACTTTATGAATAGAATTATATAACCTGCTGATTTTATTCTAAAACTAAGAAAGTAACTTGAAGTCTATAAATAGCACCTTGACTCTGGAGGTCTTTTCATTTCCCTCACTATTTAAAATATTTTCCACTCAGAAAGATTTGAATTTTACTCTCCCCTCACCAGCTCTGTGTTTGTATCACTGATTTTATGTGTCTGGACCAAAAGGATGCCAAGATCTTGAGGGGTGGGGGCGGGCAGGTGATGGCTCAATACTGCTTCTACCAGGAGCTGTGTGGCCTTGGAGAGGAGCCTTAACGCCTGTGGTCAGTTCCCTAAAGCACAAAATAATGCTCTACTTGGGGGCATGAAGAGTGGTGAACAAATTGAGCACATAGTAAGTCCTCAATGAATAGTATCTTATTACTGTACTCAGTGCTATTATTATTGTACTGGAGAGAGAGATGCTGAAGACTTCAGGAACAAGGGAAGCAGCTTGAATTTTCTTTTCTTTTTTTCTTTTCTTTTTAAAGATTTATTTATTTATGCATACAAGAGCTGGGGTACAGGCCAGAGATGCGGGAGGATGAGAGGATTCACCAGAGACAGAGTGGGGAGCAGAACAGGCAGACTGACTGAAATACACTGCTGAGGGGAGCAGCGGGCAAGACAGGAGAGGTCTGCTGCACAGTGTGGGTAGCTACCTGGCCAGCCGGGGATCAAACTCGTGCTGCCGAGGCTTCAGATTGCTTCATAGTGCAGTGCTTAACCCCTTGTGCCACCAGGGAGGCCCCAGCAGCTTGAATTTTCAGAAAGTCATTTCTGTTTCTTCTATCCCCTTTGTTTTACACTTCTTTTTTTTTTTTTTTGTTTTATTTATTTATTTATTTATTTATTTATTTATTTATTATAAATTTTATTTTTATATTCCCCATACAATTGCGACCCCCTTGTTTTGACCCCAATCCCTCCCCTCCCCGCCCCCCCCCCCCCATAGAGTGTCTCTGGTTCATAGTTCTTTGTTGATTTTGATTTTTACTTTTTTTTTTTTAAAGATTTATTTATTTATTTATTTATTTTACAAGCACTGGGTACAGTCAGAAGAGCGGGAGGGTGAGAGAACTCACCAGAGCCAGAGCGGGGAGCAGAGCAGGCAGCAGGAGAGGTCTGCACGCCATGCAGGACCCTCCCCCGGTGGCCTGGGAGCAGCCGGGATCGAACCGGCAGAGGCTGCGGGCAGCTTCGCAACCCAGCGCTCAACAGCTGCGCCACCGGGGAGGCCCTGTTTTACACTTCTTGATTTGTGTTAGTCCTCCGTATCTCTAATAAACTTCTCTTTATTAACTTGCTTTATTTTCCTACCCATCCTCTAGCCCCCCCTTCTCCCAATGCAATGGACCATACCTCAGCGTATGCCGAGTTTGTCCAGACACACAGAACTTTTGGGGAGCACATGTTTGAATTTGATGAGGATGAGGAGTTCTATGTGGACCTGGATAAGATGGAGACCATCTGGCACCTGCCGGAGTTTATTCATGCCTTTGACTATGATCCTTGGAGGGGAATTGCTGCCATCATCATGGCAAGGAAGAACTTGAAGAAAATGATTGAACACTCCAACCACACCAGAGCCACTAATGGTACCTGCCCTTGCTTGTTTCTCTGCAGTCCAGCTTCAGGGTGGTGGAGTCCCCTGCCACACACAATGGGAGACCCAGATGCCCCTTCGTGAATGACGCCCCACCATGGAGTGTGCCGTATTTGGTCCCCAAAGTCAGGCACTTGGGTCATCAGAGGAGACATTTTACTATTTCAGAAAAAGATGGGGCTGAGGGCCCTAGGCCAGGAATGTGAGGCAATATGGCTCTGACTTGGGAGTCCCAGGGGTGGGAGTGGGGGGAGAGAAGGGTGGGCCTGAGAGTGGTGGCCCAGAATTTAGAGAATATAAGGGCTGGGCTGGTAGAAACTTTGAGACTCAGCCAAAGGCAGTAGACTCAGCAGGTCCTGTTTCTCCTCAGAGCCCCCTGAGGTGACCGTGTTTCCCAAGGAACCCATGGAGCTGGGCCAGCCCTCATCTGCCATGCAGACAAGTTCTTCCCGCCAGTGCTCAATGTAACGTGGCTGCACCAGAGTGTCGCCATGCGTGTGGCTGAGGGCATCTTTCTGCCCAACACAGAATTCACATTCCACAGCTTCCACTACCTGACCTTCCTCCCCACAACTGAGAATGTCTACGACTGCAGGGTGGAGCACTGAGGTCTGGACGAGCTGCTCCTGAAGCACTGGGGTATGGACCCCCTCTACAGTCACCATCCCAACACCAGCTGTATTTCTATCCCCCATACAACTGCACATGCCCCATTCTGACCCCAATCCCTCCTCTGCTGTCTCTGGTTCATAGTTTTTTGTTGATTTGATTTTCACTTTCTTATAGTTATTCATTTTCCTGATCCCTTATTTAAGTTTTCTAGATTCCTGCTATGAGTGAGACATCTGTATTTTTCTTTTTCTTTTGGCTTATTTCGCTGAGCATGATCCCTTCCAGCGCCATCCATGTTGCTGCAAATTGCATGTGTTATCTTTTGAATGCTGAGTAATATTCCATGGTATATATGTACCACATCTTCTTGATCCAGTCATCTATTGGCATTTGGGCAAAGCTTAGCTATTGTAAATAGTGCTGCTATAAACATAGGGGTGCAGGTGTTCTTTGGAATTGATGTTTCTGTCCTTTGGGTAAATACCTAGAAGTGGAATTGCTGGATCATATGGAAGCTCTATGTTTAGTAGGTCAGAAATCTCCACACAACCAGCTGTATTTCTAAGGTCCATCCCTCAGCACCTGCTTTCCTTAATCTCATGTTTTATGGTCATTTTATCCAGACTTTGACATCTTATGGTTCTCTTGTGGTAATACCCCGACATCTACACTAAGTTCCTGTTCTTCTGACTGTCTTTCCTCTGTGCCCAGAGGCCTGGGAGCCCATCCAGGTGCCTGAGACAATGGAGACTGTGGTCTGTGCCCTGGGCCTGCTGGTGGACCTGGCGGGCATCATCACTGCCACCATCGTCCTGTGGAAAGAACCAGTGGGCCTTTCCACATGCTGGGGCAGGAGCCACTGTGAATCATCCTGGGGTGGGGGTGCTGGGGCACAGTGCTAAGGCAAGTAGATGTTCCAGGTGGTGGATGGGAAGGAGAAACACCTCAGTGGGGTGCTTGGAGCACCTCATGTTTTGGAGTTATTGAACTAGATGCCAACAACAAAATGATAACATCTGATAACATCAGATGAGCTGCTTACTGTGCACCCAACACTGTTCTCCATACTTCTTTTGTATTCAAATTATTTAAACTTGGAGTTGGTACTGTTACTTTCCCTATGTTAGAGAGGGGGTTACAAAAGGGAGGTGAAGGAATCTGTTTGAGGTCACACAGCTTGGGTGGTGCAGAATTTGGATGGGAAGGAACCCAGGCATTGCACCCCAGAAGCTGCAGTCTTGTCCAATGTGTAGATCACATCACTGGCAGCCACAATTATCTCTTTCCTTACAATCTTCATAGCCATGATTTCCTCTGTCCTCAAATCAGTGTCTTGAACTTCTCATACTGTTAGACATTTATGATAATAAAAGACATCCTACTATTTATATCATCTCAAAGGGAATGCATCTGGTTTTTCCATAAATACATTGCCTACAGATTTTTTGTTTATAATCTTTACAATGTGGTGAGATTTATTGAATTCTGTTCATATATTTATTGAATTCAGCTCATGTTAACTGAATTTTCTTTTTTTATCTGATATGTTGGCCATATTATAGCTTGTTAGACACTAAGCCAACATTGAATTCTTAGGATAAATCTTATTTGAGCAAATGAATTATTTCTATAATAAACTATTGAATTCAATGGCATTGGTGAAATTATTCCATAATTTTCTTCATTTGTGCTATCCTTACCTGTGCTATCTGGAAGTAAAGGTGTAACAACTTCATGAAATGATTTGGAAAGCTTATGTTCCTTTTGATGTTCTAGAACAACACGTGTAAGAGACGAAGGGCTTGTTCCTTGAGATGTGATTGGGGACTCGCCAACTGTAAAGTTCTCAGGACAGAGGCCTTGGAAGGTATTCTTTGCTCCCAACTCAACATCCAGTATTTATCCTCTATTTTAGCATTCTATTTTTTCCTGTAGTTTGACCTTTATATCTTTCCAGAAATGTATCCATCTTATTAAAATTTCAGATTTATTGACAAGAGTTGATCATAACAAGTTATTTTCATGTAGAAGTCTTGGTGTGTACAGCGATCAGTCCTTTTTCATTCTGAATCACATTTATCTCCTTGGACAGTCTTGCCAGAGGTCTATTGACCTCTTTAAACTTTCTATTGAATCAGAATTTGATTTTGCTTATCTTCCCTGTGTTTTGTTTTCTATTTCACTGAATTCTGCCCTTGTCTTTATTATTTACATATTTTTTTAAACTTTTGCTGTATTCTTATTTTTCCATTCTCTTTATGGAAATGATTAGCTCATTTTTGGTAGGCAGGTTCTCTTTGAATATGAAGTTTTCCATCACTTATATTTTAATTTCCATGGTTATTTTAATTGCATGTTTAGGTATATGGAATTAATTGATTTGTCCTTTTTAATTGATTTAGAATTCAATTACATTATGGCCAAAGAATAAAGCTTATATGATACTGATTAATTTGAATATATTGATGCTTCCTTTGTGGCTTAATAAGTGTTAAGTTTTCAGAAATATTACATGTGTTTTTGGAATTCATGTGTATATTCTTTTTGTTGGTTCCAGAAATCTCTATATAACCAATTCTTTGATCCTAATATTTAATCATTTTACTTCGGTCTATATCTCTGTTTTCTCTTGGTTTCAGCTCTTAGTTTTTGAGCATATGTTAAAACCTATGGCTTAATTTTAATTTTTAGTGTCTTTCTCCATGTGTTTCTGTTATTTGTTGCTCTTATATTTTGTGGCTTTATTTTCAGGGACATATGTGTTCATGATTATTATTGTTCCCTCATCTAGTTTTTTTTATAATTTTAATTCTCTTTTGGCAGATATTAAATTTATGTCAACTATCTTTGTTTCATATCTGCCTGAAGTGCCCTTTTCCATTATTAAATTTTCAACCTTTCTATATTCTTTTATTCTGTTTGACTTTGTTAGATTTTGTTGAAAATACAATCTGAGAGTCTCTTCTTTTTAATTAATTGTTTAACCCATTCAATTTATTACAATTAGTATTATATTAAAACTTCACTATCACATTATTAAAATGGTTTATTTAATATCCTTTATTTGTATTCATTTTTCTCATTTCTTATTTCATAAAAGCTAGGCCAAATTTTGCTGTTATAAAAGTTATGTATTCTAATTATACTCACAAGATGGTTTAACATAATACACTTAATTACATTTATTTACTCTACTGATTAAAAAAAACCTGATGAATTCCTACATTCTCCTTGCCCCACAAAAGAAGTATTTTTGTTTCTCTGTTATCAACACTGATATCTCCTCTATGGTGATATTAACTACATTTTTAGTTTTAGTTTGCTTTAAATACACTTTTTTCTTACCTTTTAAAAAATTTAGTGCTACTGTTAAGATAACAATAGGGTCTCCCTGGTGACCTTGGGGTTGAGTCTCTATGCTGTAACCTTCACTGCCTGAGTTCAATCCCTAACCAGGGAGCTAACCCACATAGTGCAGCAGATCTTTCCTGTCTCACCTGCTGCTCCCCTTAGCAGTGTATTTCAGTAAATCTGCCTGTTTTGTTCCCCACTCTGTCTCTGATGAGTCCTCTCACCACCCTGGGGATCTCTGGCCTACACCTTAATTCTTCTATGCAAAAATAAATAAATAAAATATTTTAAAAATAATTTTAAAATAAAGATAATAATAAACTTTGTTAAATTATTTGATCTTTCTTACTTTCCACTTCTGTAGCATTCTCTTGGATGTGTTCTTCTTATTTGGGTGCTTTAGAAAAAGCAAAACATCTAATGTTGAAATGTTTGAACATTAGTTGGGGGTGAACATTAGTTGGGATATAATTTCAGGATTGAAAGATTTTTTTTCTTCAAGTCCATGAAAGTAACATCCAATTGTTTTCTGGCATTAAGTGTTACTGGTGATTACTGTCTGTCTCTCTGATTCTTGTTCTTTCACGGATGGGTCTGCTCTTATTTTCTTATAGGTGCACTGCTCTCTCCTCAAGTATTTAGAATTACAGTTCTTACAATACATCAAGATATGTACGTTTTTTAATATAATGGTTTAAAAATCTATTTGTCACTCTGTACCATTTCAAACTATTTCATGTTTCTTCAAAGTCTAGAAATCTATTCTTTTTGCAGATATTTTGTCTCCCTTTGATATTTCCCCCACTTTCTACATGTCTTTTTATCAAGATGTCAGAACACCTGTTTCTATCCTCTATGTCTCTTTGTTTTTTCTTTTATACATCCTATTGTTTAATCTTTCATACTGCCCTTAAGAGAGGTTCTTAGTCTTATCTCATTATTTTCACTTCTAAAAGCCTCACTAATTATCTTACTTAAATGTTCTTTATTACAACCATTATTAAAACTCACTATTTATGCTTGATTCGTTGGTTTCTTTTTTTTTTTCAAGATTTATTTTTATTTATTTATTTATACAAGCACTGGGTACACTCAGAAGAATGGGAGGGTGAGAGAATTCACCAGAGCCAGAGCGGGGAGCAGAGCAGGCAGAAGGACCGAAGTACACTGCTGAGGGGAGCAGCGGGCGGCAGGAGAGGTCTGCGCGCCATGTGGGACCCTCCTCCGGTGGCCGGGAGCTGGGGATCGAACCGGCGCTGCAGAGGCTGCGGGTAGCTTGCAACCCAGCGCTCAACCGCTGCGCCACCGGGGAGTCCCGATTTGTTGTTTTCTTGTTTTAGCTTCAAATTGCCAACATCCTTCTTTACTTCACTTTTTATATCTTTTTATTGTAAACCAGAAAACATACGTAATACACAAAACAACATGTACAAGCAATGACTACCAGGCAAATACCCATGTAACTAGTGCTTCAGTCAAGATATAGAACTGTGCCAGCATCCCGAGGCCTTCCTTAGGCCAGGAGAAGATTGTACACACATCTATGGCCATACCAACTTCATTGTGTCTATCTGATATTGGAAAATAAATAGCTTTGGGTCTGGTTAGCACTTAGACTGGGGTGTAAACCGTTCAGGGATCAGAAGCTCCTTTTTACCTAGTTTTACCCAGCATAGTTCCTGGTTCATAGTAGGTTCTATAAATACATGTATCTGGTGTAAGTGAGTAAATTTATTCATTATTTAATATTTATAGAATATTTTCCATCTCTAAAGAGTCCAACCCACTTCAAGTTAGATGCAGTCAAGCAGCTACTTGACTACTTCTAGAAGGGTCACTGAGGGCCAGTGAAGAACCAGGTTCTCTTCACTCAGCTGGGGTGATGACGGGAGCCCTTGTGAAGATGGAGGTGTGTCAGCCTGGCTCCTGAGTACCTGTGGTCAGCAGAGCTACCTGCTGACTCATGTTATACAAGTAGCCTGAGCAAAAACTATCAGAGCATTTGTTACAGCAATGCTACCTGTCTTTTTCTTACTATATACTAAAGGGATAGAAAGGTAGTGCTCAAAGACTTCAACAAAGCAGAGAGGCAGGAGAATTAGAAAAGTTGTATCGCATAAATGAAGAGAGTAGAAGTCTCAGGAAGGAGAAAATAGTTAACAGTATTAGAGGTTCCTAAGCTGTCAACTACAATAAGTGTCCACTGGGCATGGAATTAAGTGATTTTTTTTAAAGATTTATTTATTTTTGTACAAGAACCAGGGTAGAGGCCAGATGCACAGGAGGGTGAAAAGATTCACCGGAGACAGAGTAGGGAAGAGAACAGGCAGACTGACGAAATACACTGCTGAGGGGAGCAGCAGGTGAGATAGGAGAGGTCTGCCTCTCCATGTGGGATTCTCGCCAGCTGACCTGGATCGAAGTCACGCTGCAGAGGCTGCAGACAGCTTCACAGTGCAGCACTCAACCACCTGTG